AGTGTCACGGACTGAAATGATATTTTATACTGTCTTCAAGGCACTCCTGAATTGTCACTGAAACTTACGTAAATCCTGTCATTCAACTCAGTTCGCATGTAGTTTTTTATCTGCTGAATCCAATAAAATTATAATGCAGACAGTTACGAGTTGTTTTATACGAAGTCAAACTCTACTTGAATGTTTTGAAAAGTTTTCACACCGATTTTCACAACAAAACTAAATTTAATCTCAATTTTTCGTATTTTGAACATATATATCTTTTATTTTCATTTTTCAAATAAGTAAAAAATATCTGTGTGATACATATAAGCCAAAAACTCGAAGTGAAAATTGCTAAAAAAGCCAACATAAACCGTACGCGTTTCGTGTTCCTCACGCATTATAATTTACACGCATGCGCAAATAGTGATCATGTCGAATCGATATTTTGTCACGTCAACAGCTTCAACTGGATTTAGGACTATTTTCCTCGCGTTTCCTTCGGTGAAATTTTTTTAAACTTTGCGCGTTTGCTAAGCATGACGATTCGCCAAACATATCAAAATTTCAAGAAATTCTATAAGACAGATTTTTTGTAGTCGTTATTCATGAATATCTCAAAACCTGCCTTATAAACATCCCTTCAAATTTTAATATGTCATTCCCCTTTCAACCATAAATCTTAAAAAAAAAATTCAGAAAAATTGACCGAAGGAAAAAAAAGATATTGCCGTTTGATTGTAAAATTAGACAATAAAAGTGCAAAAGATGAAACGTCATGGTTGCCATGGCAACACTAACACTGTTCCTATTTGTTCATATATCGACAGCAGAAGACTTCTGAACTTTCCTGGAAATGATTATATTGCCCTGTCTTAAGTGTTTTCAATATAAATTTGGTTCAAAACGAAGGCTACCTAAAATACTTAAAATTTTAGAAAACTGTAGGGAGCCACCTTAAGAAGGAGAATGTTATTTTTAACAAACCTAAAAGTTTGTTGGGTTTTGGCTATTATTTCATCTATGGGAATCCCAATTAAGATTTCCATCCCCAAGATCTTTCTCTTCGCTAACACGATTTAAGCTGGTTGAACCAAGTTGGTACCGTACATAAATGTAACAGGTTTTTTTTACCGGACACTGTTAACACTTTGTATTTTGATGAATTGAAGTTGATATTGTTGGTGTTATACTTCCAGATGGCTAGATTTGTAAGGGTTTGTTGTAGATGTTGAGCGTCGTCTTCACAAGTAACTAATTAGGGCCATTTATATTGGACAAAATAAGTCGCGACTTACATAAGACGCGTCTTATGTATATAAGCGGAGTTATCGCATAAATGGTTCTCTACGGCTTTATTTTTATTTACTTGCTATAGCTATAATGTTGTTTCGGTTGTTTTTGTTTTAATATGCAAGGCTAATAATTTTACGTTGTTTCAAGTTTCGGACATGTGTAGTTAGAATTTTTGTCCAAAATTTCTTATTTAAGACGCGACTTAAATAAGAACACCTAAAAGTCCTGTTCTTATGTAAGACGCGTCTTATCCAAGACGCGTCTTACATAAGAATTTTGTACCTTTTATACGACAAACTTGCGTCTTATTTAAGTCGCGTCTTATGTAAGTCGCGTCTTATTTTGTCCCGTGTAAATGGCCCTATTGTCTGTATGTTTTTGTGTCGTCAGCGTCGGTTTTACACAGGGCGCTTATATATAAGCGCCCTGGTTTTACACTATTGGAAATACATATAATGCTACCAATTCCGATTGTGTACCGATGAAGCAATAATCGGCCTGATACAGATACCGATTATCAGTCAGTCGCTAAAGATTTTTGAATGTTGAAAATTTGAAATCTGCAGCCAATTTAACCGAATGTGTGAAACCTCCAGCGTGCATGAACTTTAATTCTTTAGAGCTTTTAAGTTTGTTATATGATGTACTAGCGTATGCATGCAGTCGGTGGCTTTTTGGCGTAAGCAGTCTGTGGCTTATTGGCATAACCTCCGGTGTAAAATTTTCACAGAATCCAACCTGGGATCATGGTAGTCTGTATGCAAAAACCATAGGGATGCGACTCTCTCCACGCGAGCTTGTTTCCCTTTGCCTTAATTTATAGTACTATTACAGCCAATTGCAGTTGAGCTTGCAGCTTGCATTTTAAACGCGTTGTTATATCGTTGAAAAGTATGCGTTCATTCCTTAGAAACACGCCGTTGCTAGGGGCGTAACGTGAACTTTTGGCGGGCATTGTTGAACTTCTGAACGGCGTGCAAACAAACGTATAACGAGTTAAATATTGTAAAAACGCTGCTAAAGCCTGCGATAGAACAGTAAGGTATTTTTAGAATGCCTGCAGTCAAATTAGAACTCCCTGGTCGGTTTTGTGACAAAATCTAATTTAATTCGTCAACGCCAAGAATAGAAAAACATGTTTACGCCGTTACAACGCGCGCCAAAAGTTCACGTTACGCCCCTAGCAACGGCGTGTTTCCAAGGAATGAACGCATACTTTTCAACGATGCAACAACGCGTTTAAAATGCAAGCTGCAAGCTCAACTGCAATTGGCTGTAGTTACTCGCTGGGGCACTGTGCCCACGCGAGTATAGATTTCGGCACGCATTTGTGGTGGATCGGCAGTAGTGGATTTCCGATCATAATTCCCCAAATTATTCATAAGGCTCCTGCCGATTTTTACCCAAATTATCCATAAATAACCCTAAGTTTTGAGACAAATTCAAGAATTTTACTAAAAAAGCCAGACCTGCAGTTTATTGTGACCAGTATGAATATGTCTACGTTCTTTTACAACAAGAATAATGAATTTGGAGATATATTAATGCCAAGTAAATCCTGTTCAGCTGTCAAAATGACATCTTATAGCCCGACAAAGACAGAAATACAAAGTCAAAGACAGCGATGCACAGGAACAATTGTATGAAATACAAACTCGAGATAAGACTGCTAAGTGCTAACTATGCTTTTATAAGAACAGAGTAAAGACCAGACAGTACTAAATGCGGTGCTTTACAAATAAAACTTTCCGGCGATTCCGCCTGTACAAGCTGTGCTACAAGTAAAGCCTATAGGTTATATTTTATAGTACGCTACATTCCTCCAAGACCCTGGGTACTAGGTTGACATTCCTCCTGTCGGCCGGCAGTTGTTCCGTACGCTTGCTTAAAACTTCGCTTTAAATTCTTCAAGATAACCTACTGTCGGATCAAAATACTATCAAATTGAAGAGAAAAGTGAGACGAATCCATTGGTATAAGGCCGAAAAAGAGAAAACCAACGATACGAAAGTTATCAAGGACTGCATTTGTAATTAGTTAAATAATTTTGAGCGATTTGTCAACAATACAATTTCGCTTGACTTTCAAAGGCCATATATCGCTAGAATACTGCTGTTTAGTAATGAATTTGGCATCCGTAAGTACAATTTCTTACGCTGATTCGAACGATGGTATTTTTGTCCTTTTTGGGTAACTTGGGTGCATAAAACCAGAGATCGTCGGTCCTGAGAGTCCGAGCCTGATTAATTAATTTTCCCGCAAAAACGAAATTCAGAGAACATGGAAGGAATTTTTATGGAAGCATTTGTTTCGGAACAAACTCCTCCCCAAAAAACCGTCTTCTATGGTAGCGGTGCCAAACTTAGTCTACTTCCATTTCAACGAATAAGACTTTAATTAATGATGTCAATTGTCAAAATCACCACTATAAGTTATTTGTAGATATGTATACTATCATATTGGTGAATGTAATCAATTTATGTTTAGTCGATAGATATCAAACACACACATTTTAGTATTTAAGTTTAGGACTAAAGTGGTACTAAAGTGAGATTATATAAACAATTCATCTATTTCAACCCTTTGAGTGCCAGTGCTCTTCCCTTGACGAGTAATTAAATTGACTGGCTAATCAAACGACAATTAAATAATAATTGTAGGGCACCTTAGGGCACAATTAATGCAACTTAATAGGTTAACTAGACACATGGACAAATAGTCTGACTAAATCTTGAGTGTCAGCCCGTTGATGACATGGGTGGATTTACTGGGGAGGGGGTTAAACCCCCCTAGAATCTCTCTAACCCTTCTTATAATGTATTCAACCCCACTAACGCTTCACCCCCC